ATCTTGTGCAGCCGATTGTTTTGGTCTGAAGCTGTGTCATTTCCAACATGGCGCCATGGACCAGGCCCAACACTGCGCATGTATTCACATTTTGCGGCAGACCGTGATTCAGGGCATGGATGTCGTGTATCATCATTCATTGGTCACGTATTGTGAGATGGGTCATTGATGTTTATATTTGTAGTTCAGCCGTCACTTTATTGTGGTATTTAAACCATATTGCTTTGCCGATTGTAATATTTGCATCTGTGTGCGCGTTGCTATTATAGTGCCTGACAGTAATCTTACATAAGGTTTTTCCCAATGGTTTTGCTGAATAGATGCCTTTTCTTTAGAAATTGTAATAAAATCAATCTTGTATATCAGTACTGTATATCAATCTTGTGTACCCATATTGCTTATCAAGGGGCTGTGATATATGTACAGCATTTTCTAAAAAAAAAAAAAAGTCACTCCAAAATAATAGTTAAGAATTCTTATTTGCACAACATAAACAATGTTTATGTTGTGCGGTTTGGCCCAAGATAAAACAATCGGTCGTCTGTCAGAAACAAATATAATTTGCTTCATTTAGCACCACAAGACACAGCTGCCATAACTGACACGAGTGTGTAGTAATTACACTGATACAATTAAAAAAAGAAACGACTAAGGAGAAAAAAAAGCAGGCTTAGTTTAAGTAACTTCACAGCACATCGAACTGGGTAACATTAAAGTAATGTCACCTTTGACTGTAAAATTGATGGCCATACCCTGTATTTTACGTCGCTCCTTCTGAAGCACATTTGGCATTAAAGGCCTAATGCGAAATAAAATCTTTTAAAGTCGAAGAACTCCATCATTATCCTGTTAATTCTCTTTCCTCTCTGTCGACATTATCACCAAAAATCAACAAATGATGAAATGTGACGCGATGCCATAAAGAAGTCGCAAGTGTGCGCATGCGTAGTAGCGGAAGTTACATTTTCGGTAGGTGTAACCTATGGATGTAACATTAATTTTCGGTAGTGACACCCCTACCTATATCGCTCAGTTAAGGCCGTTGCGAAATTCTTCTTCTTCTTGATTATTATAGGTAGCAATGTAAAAACAAATATTGTCATCAATTGTCTCGGAGTATGTTGACGGGTCCCGTACCGATCCATTATCTGGGATCTATTTGTTTTGACTTGCTGTACAGGGTAACCAATCAGATGTTACTCTCGGTTGACGACCCGCAGTGACAGATAAAATTAATTCATGATGTGGTGAAAGTGCCAAAAGTGCCAAAATTAAATAAATAGTGAAATAATTGTAAATGACACATGTAATTAATTAATAATGATTTTATTTCTAATGGTAGATAATTCATGGCACATTTAATTAAGCATATTTTTATTTCCCATTTTAAATAATTCATGACAAATTTAAATAATAATTTATCTTTATATTTCCCATTTTAAACAATTCATGGCACATTTAATTAATTAATTATTGGTGTATTTATTTTTTTAATTTTGGCACTCCAGGTAAATTAACTGAAAACCAGTTCTCACTGCTATTCGGGAGAAATAGCAGCTCACGCATCGGAACTGCCCGGGATACAAACGTCATGCGTGTAACTAAACTTTTCAGCCAATAAGGGCAAAGGCGTGTCGTCACGGAGGCGGTTCCAGTTTGTGCAGCCGGGTGAGAGGTCGCAATGCATCTAACCGTAATGCAGTGCGTCAGGATCAGAATGCGTTACTTTAAGCCAGCGCTGTAAACAAGTCGAACGCACCCAATGACCGGACTGGGGAAACAAACTGAAACGCGGACTTAATACAGAGGACTAATGACAACAACCAGAAACAGCTGATCACATGGGGATCCCACACGAGGTTAACGAGGGGGCGTGGCACACGGAAGGAGCGGACGATTGGGGCAGGACAGGGGTAATGTTGGAATCTTTATCGTTTTGGAAGCCATTAAGAAAAAAAATGCTCTTCTTGTTTTATCCTGTCCATTTTGTTCTTAAATGCTAAAAAAAAACATATTTACGTGTAATTTTGGGGGGCCGGGAACCAATTAATTGGTTTTCCATTATTTCTTATGGGAAAAATTCGATCAGAACTCGAACTTTTTAGGATTCGATCCGGAGTCCGGAACAGATTAAGTTCGATAACCGAGGTACCACTGTAGTATTAATGCTTTCATCATATGGCTTCATGCAGCAACACAAAGTCAGTCACATCTATTGCAAGATAATGCAAAAACAATTGCAAGTAATGCAAAGGTTTTTAAGGGAACTCAAAGCTATTGGGAAGGAATACAAATTGGTGGGGGAAAATTCTGCAAATTGTCATATAAGTGGAATGTGCAATAATACTTTCAAACTTACATATCACAACATGGCATTCTGGTAAAAACACATTAAATAACTGACATTTCTAGGTGATACATTCAGGACTTCTAGTAAGCGTACAGGTTGATGAGTGTGGGACAAGTATAGATAAGCCGGGTGGAGCGAGTGATGAGGTTGTCTGGGGAATACCATGCTGCCGTTTCTGATGGCACCAAATCTAGTTAAATTTTTTTATTTAAAAAATATTCTTGTTGTATATCATACAGTTCAAAATGGTGGCATAGCATTTTCTTAGTTATATTTGGTATAGCTGTTACCATTAATATAGCTGATTTGGGGGGGCGGGCGGTGTGTGCCCAAATATTTAATTTGGTTTCATTCTTCCCCCCAAAAATAGACCTTGGTGTTTAAATTATTGAGTTGTGTCCACCCAATATTAAACTCTCTTTAATGCCATATGTAGTGCTCTTGAGAAAAGTTCAGTGTGAAAAGTTTCAAATGAGTTTTGCCAAAGGACAATTGCCGCACTGAAGTATAATAACTGTGCTTTGCTTTTAGATGTTAATGAGTGCACAGCTGACAATGGCGGCTGCGAAGGACAATGCTGCAACACCATTGGCAGCTTCTACTGCAAGTGCCCTAAGGGTATGAGGCTCAGCCAGGATGGAAAGGCCTGTGAGGGTAAGGGCACTTTTGTGTCTCAGAGCATCAGTATTCCTTTGGTCAGTGTCTCCCAACCTGGTCCTTGGTGACACACAGACAGTCTACGTTTTTGGAGCATGTATTTAACAGTAACTCAAGAAATTCAAAATGTTAGACTGTGAAACAAATGTGAAACTTACAAAAAGAAAGCTTGATCCCTGAACGCCCTGTGTGCTTCCTGAGATATTTTCATACAACACCGCTCCCTGCTGCCTGCCCTGCATGAACAGAGATCCTGTCTTCATGTCCCCTTTGTGTAACAATGTGTGCACTAATGTAATAACCACATGCAACCTTCTTCTCTTCAACTTCTGTGGCCAACTTTGTAAAACTGGAAATACCTTCACAGGAAAAGCCTACCACCACCAGAATAATTTAAACTATGCATAAAATTAAACATTTGTTAGTCTTTAGAATTATACTGAATGGAAACATGACCTGTTACCATATTCATTTCTCATTTGGCTCCTGCAGTTAAGCACTGTTATCCCATTACACATTTTAATGTGGTGTATTTGTTCAAATGTTCCCTGTAGGAATTTTCAAAAATGATTCAATATTTAATTAAAACTGAATGTTAAATCATCTTCTTAGCTATTGATATGTAATTTATCCTAAAATAATTATTTTTTATTGTACAAAAATTGTGACTTATGAACTTGAGAAACTGGATACGATTAATTTATTACCGTGATATTGACAGACTTCTATAGAGTATGACCAGGTTCCCCAATTCTGGTCCTGGAAAGCCAGTTTGCAACATAGTGTGCAGATCTCCCTGCTCAGACATACCTACTATCAGAGCAATTAGCTGATAAAGATGTGTTTGAGGAGAAAAATCTGCAAATTGTGTTGGATTCTGGCCCTCTAGGACCAGAACTGGGGAACCCTGGAGTATGAGATGCTGACAGAGAACCAATGAGCAAGAGTATTGACAAGTTCTCAGTGGCATTAGTTATTTTGTCCATTTCTAGAGTCAAACCATGCATTACACATGAATCATTTTGTTGTTTGGCTAAAGACAAGCGGGACTTTGGAAACATGCAAACAATTTGCTACTTGTGCTGCAGCTGAAAGACCAGTGATCTGGAAAACTAATCTTGCAGCACCAAGAGGAAGTAATCATTGACATTTGTAGATAAATGATACAGTTTCCTAAATGAAATTTCCAGAGGCTGCTTAACATCCATGGTTGTCATGTTTAAGGGGAATATATAAGAAAAGTCTCAGTGGCTTTGAATTTTCCTGGCATCTGATCTGTTTCTCTCACAGCAGGACTGTTTTTTGCAGACATATCTTAAAATCTTCCTCAACTGCTGAATGTGCAGTAACAGTAAGATTAAAGCAGAAAACTAAGACTAAATAAAAGGTATTCTAATTGTATTTTTTTGATTCTGGAGAATACATATATTTTTGGGACTGGACCAACATCACCACAGGCACTCAAAAACTATTTGATGGAGCTTTTCTTAAACTTTTCAGAAATATTGTATGAGTGACAAAATAGAAATTAAATTTTGAGACAGATCACTCCAAAATTGAAGCAGCGCTGCATAGTGATAGCAAAAAAAAGGAAAGTATTGACACATGATCCTGTAAAGACAATAACTCAAAAACTATTTCATGGATCTTTTTCAAACTTTGCACAAGCATTGTGTCACATCGTAGGAAAAGGCAACTCAAAAGTGGCCATATGGTGAACTAAAAACAGGCTTTATTTACTATAAACTTAAAAAGAAAATAAACTGCAAGGGACCAATCTTAAAATATGATCACTTCCACTTTCTTTCCACTTCAATGAGCCTGTAAAGTTAGAAACAGATCTATAAAATACTTTTTGAGTTACTGTGTTGACAAGACCCAATGTCTTCTATAGCTGCCATTTGCTTTTGCTGCCACACAGCACTGCCACTTCATTTTTGGGGCAGTTTCCCAAACAATGTAACCAGGTGACGATCTTTATACAGATAAAGTTTGTGTGAAGCAGAAATAAGACTCAAATACATTTTAACTTACATCATTCACAAGGTCAAATGTCATGCGCTTTCACCCTTCTTTTTGCTGCTACTAAATGATGTCGCTTCAGTTTTGGGGATGCTGTATCAGATTTTTTTCAGTCGCAACTTAACACCTATACAATGCTTCTGCAAAGTTTGAAAAAGATCCATCAAAAATGTTGAGGTATTGTCTTAACAGGATCAAATGTCAAAACTGCCGTCTTTTTGCAATCAGTGGCACTACTTCATTTTTGAGGCAATCTGTCTCAAAACTTCATCAGTTTTAATTCCTCACCAATACAAAGCTTGTGCAAATTTTGAAAAAGATCCCTGAAACAGTTTTTGAGTTAAGCTCACATACCAAAATGTCTGCAATGGCAGTGGCGGACCGGTGCTAAAACCATATATATTCTCCCAAGACCAGGGAATGCATCTAGCAGGTACAGTCCATGAAACAAGCTTCCAGCATCTGTGGCATCCTACTCTGCCTGAGCTCCAATATTCTGCGGTTGCACCTTTTCAGGGGCCCGAGGTGGGGAGGTCAGGAGATTTTGTCAACCGGATGGAGGTTTCTCAGTTGATATCCATACAGTCCAATTAGAGAAAACTCCAAACAAACATGCAAAACATGCAATCCAACCTCAAAACAAATCCACAACAAATGAAACACTCACACTGCATCCTGCCCACTTTACATTGGCAAACCTTGTCAATGATTAATCATCAGATGAATGACCCATAATATCATCACAATGGCCTAACAAGAAATCAGTGATTTGACCATTCAGAAAATGCTACATCAGCTGCTGAAAGCATTACACAGGCAGTTAAACTCCAACAAACCAAGAGGTGTGGTAAAAGTAGTCTTTTCACGATTACAAGGATCCATATTTACCTGCCAGTAGCCACTTGCTTGATCTAAAATGGAAAACCATTCTACCCTTGCCACAGCTGTAAAAGTGTCTGCCACCCTAGGAAGGGGAAAATCATCCTTATGGATCACCGAATTCTACTTATGATAATGCAAAGCTACCATGTTCCATTCCTCTTTTGAACCATCATAACTGGACTACTCATGGACTGGAAATCTCCAGTATTATATCCTTTTCCAACATGTCTTCAACATGGCCCTCATTTCCTAATACAGTGTTTGATGGAACTACTCCCTAATGGACTGCACATCCCCAGTAGGCACCCTATGCTGGATGGCATCGATCCTTCTGAAACCCCCATAACCCAAACATTCATACTCAAGCTGACAACTACTTCACTCAGCAGGTATCCATACACGTTGATAGCCAGCCAGCCACACATACCCTACAAATCTCTCCCATCTCTTACTGCATGGATCTGATAATAAATTGTATACGCCTGGCCCCACAACCTTCAGGCCTGGGGAATCTGGTAGGGCAGTCCCACTGACTCATTAGATCCCTGAAAAATGGCTTCACAGCAGGCAGAAATTATATTCATACCTATAATTAAAGGGGTAGTCAGACAATCATCCCCACAGTCAGGAACCTTCACACCTTCAACAAGGGGATACCACTTACCATAACCTCCACCATAGAACAATTCCCAACAAAGGAAGGGCTCCCTGTGACATTAGTAAGCCCCACAACTGGGGCCTCAGCAATGGGGGCCACCTGTCCCCGACCACCACCACAATTTCAAGTCATACACATGTGGACAAAATTGTTGGTACCCTTCAGTCAATGAAAGAAAAACTCACAATGGTCACAGAAATAACTTTAATCTGACAAAAGTAATAATAAATAAAAATTCTATGAAATTTAACCAATGAAAGTCAGACATTGCTTTTCAACCATGCTTCAACAGAATTATTTAAAAAAATTAAAAAATGATGGTACCCCTAGAAAAGACTGAAAATAATGTGACCAAAGGGACATGTTAATTCAAGGTGTGTCCACTAATTAGCATCACAGGTGTCTACAATCTTGTAATCAGTCAGTGGGCCTATATATAGGGCTCCAGGTAGTCACTGTGTTGTTTGGTGACATGGTGTGTACCACACTCAACATGGACCAGAGGAAGCGAAGGAAAGAGTTGTCTCTGGAGATTAGAAAGAAAATTATAGAAAAGCATGTTAAAGGTAAAGGCTTTAAGGCCATCTCAAAGCAGCTTGATGTTCCTATGACTACAGTTGCACATATTATTCAGAAATGTACTGTAAGATCCAAGGGACTGTAGCCAACCTCCCTGGACGTGGCCGCAAGAGGAAAATTGATGACAAATCAAAGAGACGGATAATACGAATGGTAACAAAAGAGCCCAGAAAAACTTCTAAAGAGATCCAAGGTGAACTTCAAGCTCAAGGAACATCAGTGTCAGATCGCACCATCCGTCGTTGTTTGAGCCAAAGTGGACTTCATGGGAGACGACCAAGGAGGACACCATTGTTGAAAACAAATCATAAAAAAGCCAGACTGGAATTTGCCAAACTACATGTTGACAAGCCACAAAGCTTCTGGGAGAATGTCCTATGGACAGATGAGAACTTTTTGCCAAGGCACATCAGCTCTATGTTCACAGATGGCAAAATGAAACATATCAAGAAAAGAACACTGTCCCTACTGTGAAACATGGAGGAGGCTCTGTTATGTTCTGGGGCTGCTTTGCTGCATCTTGGCACAGGGTGTCTTGAATCTGTGCAGGGTACAATGAAATCTCAAGACTATCAAGGGATTCTAGAGAGAAATGTGCTGCCCATGTGTCAGAAAGCTTGGTCTCAGTCGCAGGTCATGGGTCTTGCAACAGGACAATGACCCAAAACACACAGCTAAAAACACCCAAGAATGGCTAAGAGGAAAACATTGGACTATTCTAAAGTGGCCTTCTATGAGCCCTGACCTCAATCCTATTCAGCATCTTTGGAAGGAGCTGAAACATGCCGTCTGGAAAAGGCGCCCTTCAAACCTGAGACAACTGGAGCAGTTTGCTCATGAAGAGTGGGCCAAAATTAAGTTAGGGGTACCATCATTTTTGTCCAGGCCTGTTCCATGAGTTAATTTTTTTAAATAATTCTGCTGAAGCATGGTTGAAAAGCAATGTCTGACTTTCATTGGTTAAATTTCATAGAATTTTTATTTATTATTACTTTTGTCAGATTAAAGTTATTTCTGTGACCATTGTGAGTTTTTCTTTCATTGACCGAAGGGTGCCAACAATTTTGTCCATGTGTGTATGACCCATCTGTTTCCACCAATGACAGAGTCCTACCTTCAAGATCCCACATATATCATGACTGCTGAGTTTTTTCCTCTAAGTCAGCTGACAGCTACTTAAAGTGGGTGCATTCGACTTACAAACCCTATTTCCATAAAAGTTTTGAATTTTCTAAATTGCAATAAAAACAAATATCTGTGACATGTTAATTCATGTGAACTTATATTTAACTGACAAACGTACAAAGAAAAGATTTTCTACAGTTTCACTGACCAACTTAATTGTATTTTGTAAATATGCACAAAGTTAGAATTTGATGGGTGCAACACACTCAACAAAAGTTGGGACTGAGTTAAAATAAGACTGAAAAGTGCATAGAATATTGTGTTATCTTTGCGTTCAATAGCCCAGCTGTCTTGCTTGAAGACACTGGTGGTGAATGGTGCAATTATTAATAAATACGTATAAGAACACATAAAGGACATGTCTTATTATTTGTTTATCACATTGCAGCAAACAGCAAGTGGGCAAGTGTAGTGGGATTGCAAAACTATTACGAATGAACACAAAACTATTTTAAAAGTATTTTCCCACCCTGACCTCTTAGGGGCTCCGTAGTGGTACGAACTGTACAAAAATCCATAAATCAATGGAGCGAAGTCACAAATGTAACACAATCCTCAAATAGACAGAACATGATCCACAAATGTGCTAAACACGTTTCACATGTACAAATTGCTTTTTTGTGGATATGATTTTACAAAACACAAATTTAAAAATACAAATTTTGTCTTAGATTATGTTACCAATTACATTTTTTAACAGGTAACTAGTAACTGTACTTAATTACATTTTTAAAGTAAAAGTAGCTTACTCATCCCTGTTCCTGGATGTTCACACTTCTTGTTCCAACGTGCCAGGCAACCAAGTACGTTGACACCAGGGCTGGGGTGGCTCTGTAGAACAAAGCTGCTCTTAAAGTCATGTTTATGCAGTGTAGTATGGACGTCACATTAAAAAAAAGTATTTTACTAAAACTAACGGTGTGTTATGTATTTACAGCAGTACACAAGGACAGATATCTGTTGCAGATACAAACATGTATTTTATTCTAGGCTGCAGCCATCTGGGAGTCTTTGTAATCTCATTACGAGGAAGCATATAAATCCCAGTATTTCCAGGCTTTCTCAGCCAGCCTATCTTTGAACCAACTATCCAAGCTTGGAGATCCAGAGAGTCCCGGTAAAAATAGGCATCATCATACTTAAAGCCCACAAATCGTATATATAAAAATGAAAATTCAGGTTAAAAAAAATTGCCTCGACAAGATACCACTCACTCCAATATTACAATACAATCCAAACTAAAAACAATTCCACACCATGTAAAACACCCACATTACACATTGCCTTTTTAAAGAATGCTTCAATGTAAGAAATCAATAGGAAACATGCCTTTCTGAAACAGGATGTGTTCTTGTAATATGGTTTTCATAGCTTTTAATGAACAATAGTCATTATTTATTTGTTGTCTGGTTGCCTTGGTGAAATGAATGAAGAATTTTTGTAAGGTCTTTCTGTGCCTCTCTATCCTAGATGAGAATGAGTGTTTGGAACTGAATGGGGGCTGTCAGCAGAACTGTGTGAACAGTGCAGGCTCTTTCCTCTGTGAATGTAGCATGGGATTCCGCTTAAACACAGACGGACGAAGCTGCGTTGGTGAGTGAAAAAACAGCACAATCAGAGATTGAAGTGTAAGATTAAAATGTTAATGTCTGTATATCTCATTAAATAATCCTACAGTTACAACAAATATGGAGGCTTTTTCCAGTGTCATGAATAAATGGCTAGGAATATTGGATTTTGCAAGCCTTATTCATTCCTGCACATGGCTTGCTTTCTCTAAAGAAGTTAGTATGGAAGGTTGGAGTCATACAGTTGTCAGGGCAGCATGTGTGCCCTACCTGTGTTGTGAATCGGGAGAAGGGCGAACGAGCAGGGCGCAGTGAAGCAGAGTCTGGGAGCCGTAAATCCAAGGCAAAGGGATTTATTGAGGGCAGACGGACAGACAGGGCACAGACTTCCACAAACGTCAATGACAGACCTGGGGAAACAGACTTTAACGCGGACTAAATACAGGACATGACCTCAGAATAAATGCAAGACAGCTGATACAATGGGAATTGACACAGGGTTAACGAGGAAGGTGTGACACACATGAGGAGTGGACACGCAGGTCATGACAGAACCCCCCCCCCAAGGCACGCACTCCGGGCATGCCCCAAAGGGAGCGGCGGACAGGACGAGACCGGGAACAAGACGAACCTGGAAAACAAGACAAGACCGTTACCGGGGCACAGGGAACAGGACCGAAACACAAAACAGACACAAGGGCAGAAACCACGACAAAACCTGACAGAGGACGGGAAACGCGGACAGACAAACTAGAAAGGGAGATACCGGGGGAACACCAATGGGAGGAACAAAAGGGCCGGGAGTGAACATGGGAGGCACAGAGGGACGAGCAGCAAAGACTGGAGGGACAAAGGGACCAGGAGGGAATGGAGGAGACACAGAGGGACGAGGAGCAGAAACAGGAGGGGCAAAAAGGTGAAGGGTGAAGGAACAAGGGGAGCCTGAGGGAACCCCAGTGGGCGAAAGGTGGTAGCCAGAGGAGCCGCGGGTGACCAAGCGGCCGAAGCCAGAGCGGCCGAAGAGGAGGGCCAAGGAGGTGCCTTTGGCAGGCCTGCAGGAGGCCGACAAAGCGGAAGAGGCGGGGGGGGGGATCCGTAGGGGACAGGGATTTCCGGCGTAGGCGGAGTTGGGGCCTCTGGCCCAGCAGCGGACAAAGCCCTTGGAGCCTCGGGCGGAGCAGGAGGCAGAGGCCCAGGAGCCTCGCACGGAGCAGAGACGGGTTGTGGTGCAACCGGGACCTCGGGTAGCAGTGGAGGCCTAGGAGCCTCGGGCGTATCTGCAGGCAGAGACGGTGCCGGGACTTCGGGCCCAGGGGCCGGAGCGTCAACCTCTGGGATAGGCAGGATAGACGGAGCCAGCAGGACGGGCAGGACAGGCGGAGCCACAACAGGAGCTGCCTCGGGCGGAGCCGGAGACGCGGCCGGGGCCTCGTGTGTGGTGGCAGGCTGGCGGGTGGGCATCGTGCGCAGCAGCAGCAGGCTGGCAGGCATCATGCGCGTGCGCAGCCGGAATGGGCGGCAGCATGGCAGGGGCCTCTGAGGGCGCAGAGACCGGGACTGGCTGGTCAGGCCCTTCCAGCATGACCTGGGCAAGCAGAACGGTACAGACAGGCAGGACAGGTAGAACAGGTGGGACAAGAACCGGTGAGACAGGCAGGATGGGCAGAGCCGGCGAGACAGGCAGGACGGGCGGAGCTGCAGGCAGAGCTTCAGCTGGCGAAGGCGGCGGGGCCTCAGGTGTGAGCGTAGGCGGAGCTGTGGCAGGCGCAGCTGACTCGGCAGGGGCACTGCAGGCGTAGCGGTGGCAGCAGGCACCACCAACTCGTGGCCAGCAGGGGGTGGTACGGCGGTCGCTGGAACAAGCGGGACGGGCAGGACAGGTGGCGCCAGCGAGTCAGGCGGGACGGGCAGGACAGGAACATACACTATGGCCCCTTTAAGACACCTTTTACTCTGCGGGATAGCGTCCCACAGGCCCTGGCCCCCTTATTTGCCAGGCGTGCCACCCGGAAATGGTAGGCTGCTAGCGGTGGCTATTACGGTGGCCGTAATGCGGGCTTTGGGTACCTGAGGGGGCAATGCAGCGGTGACATCCTGGGCGAGCCCCGCTGGTATCCAGATCGGGAGGGTTTCTTCCCGAAATCCGGCGGAGAGAGCAGCGGTGGAGAGAGAGCAGGCCCTCAAGTAGATCGCCAGTTCTTCAGGTGCCCTCTCCTCTTCTTTTTTTTCCGGTGAGTGGCAGGCGGCTGCGTCGTTTCGGAGACGACGGACGGCGAGTCGGCAGCCTCTGCTCTAATTTCCGGAGATTGTCGTGCAACTCATTAATGAGGCGCACGTTCCCGGACGGCATCATCTGCCTCAGGAGGTCGCCGCTCCAGCTGGCCAAGTCCAAAGCCACGGGGTGGTTCAGCCAATACAATACCTCTTGCAGGAGACCGAGGCGCTGGCTCTCGGTCCACCGCGGTGCGTTTTCGGAGAGGTCTGTCATTCTGTTGTGAATCGGGAGAAGGGCGAACGAGCAGGGCGCAGTGAAGCAGAGTCCAGGAGCCATAAATCCAAGGCAAAGGGATTTATTGAAGGCAGATGGACAGACAGGGCACAGACTTCCACAAACCTCAATGACAGACCTGGGGAAACAGACTTGAACGCGGACTAAATACAGGACATGACCTCAGAATAAACGCAAGACAGCTGATACGATGGGAATTGACACGGGGTTAACAAGGAGGGCGTGGCACACGTGAGGACTGGATGCGCAGGTCATGACAACCTAGAATGAGGGGGAGAGGATACAGGTCTCTATCAGTGAGCCTGCTGAACAGTTAGTTGCATTTATTTTTAGGGCATGCTCCAGGAACATCACTGATTCCTTAGATCAGTTTTTAAATAAATCATCAGGCATGGAGATATAATTGATGTATATAATTAAAAGTGATATTCCTTTTCCAGATGACTTTATTATAGATTTAGCTGCATTGGTTTAAAATGGAATATACAGTGGTACCTCAGAACTCGAACTTAATCCGTTCAGATTAGATGCTAAAAACTCAAATAGCCTAATTGTCGGTGTTTGTTACAGAGCACC